AAGCGGAGAACGTTCTGTTGGTCGCCAGGTGGGAAGAGGGCGTGGGGGTGGGTGAGAGCCGGGGGATGAGGAAGTGCAGGCGGGAAGCTGCAGAATGGCCTTGGGGATGTGAAGCGCGTAGGAAAGGGAGCGGCCAAGGGACTTACACGCATGACCCATGGACATGGGCAAGGGCGGGCGGTGGCCTGGGGCGGTGCTGGGTGCAGGGGCCCAAGGGGAAAATCGGGACAACTGTAACAGCATAATCAGTAAGAGACAATTTTTAAAAAGGGGGGAGAAAACGAACCCTGTGGGTAGCTGTGCAATACCGTCTGTGCCACTCTTTTTTGAAAAGTTAAAAAATACCAGTTTATCATCGTTTCCAAACATTTGTATGAAAAACAGGGAAAAGTTTCCCATTTACGGAAGAGGAGAAGGTATTCGTTTAAGAAAAGGGGGATGATAGCTTTTCCTTTCCTCTGTCCATTGGCCAAATACTGGCCGGGGACGGGCGGCGGGCCGCTGAGATGCTTGCGCCTCTTCGGCGGCGTCACGGTCACCGCGCAGTGCAGCTGAGTCAGCGCCAAGGTGGCGACCTCCTCAGGCGACCGCGTGCTCTCCCAGCCTCAGGGTGCTCTCAGGGTGCGGGTCCCCCCCCCCCAACCGCGTTATTCTCGGTCCTTTCGTTCGGTTCTAGAACCCCAGCCGGGGGTGGGGGCGGGCGGACTAAGAGCCGGAGAAACGCACGGCCCAAGGTCTGCGTCCGGCAGCCCCCTGAGTGCCACAGGTATGGATGTCACAGCGCAGGCACTGAGTCCCCGGGGAGAGAAAGACGGCTCCCACCTCCTGAGAGGAGCACCCATAAATAAAAATGTCATTTCCCCCCCAAAAGGAAACCAAGTTATGAATTCAGAAATTCATAGTCATCTGTTTTTATTGTTGCCTAATGCTTTCCAGATCTCCGCGCAAGCCCTGCAGAAAATCAGCTCTGAAACTCTGCATAATTAGGACATCTTTCATAGTCGTAAATGCTAATCCCATTGGAGGACAGATTAAGAATTCAGAGGCATGAATTTCTGGCATCAGGTCCCTGCAAGTCCCTTTTCTGTTTGAATAATTCATTATTTAAATACAGTGCTGTGTCTCCTGTTCAGCCCTGCCTTTCGGATCAGGGGCCGGGGAGAAGGAAGAGCTTAATTTCACGTGTATTTCAACGCTAAAACACATTCAAGGCTCGTTTGTGTTGACTCAGAGTCACTGGATTGCAATTGCTAACAATGTTACAGTTTTTGTCCATCACCCCAGGGACCAATTGAGGTAAATTACATAGGACCTTCTGCAGGACGTTAATAAGGTCAGAGATAAAACTCACGCAGCTGACTGAATTCTTAGGTTTAAATAAGGGTAGCAAAGGACTCTCAGAGCCGTTTTCCGTAAAGAGCGATGGCTATTTGCAGTAAACGCGGCGTTAGTAAATGCCTGCCCGTTCTCGGCTGTGGCTGTTTTGTGACAAATGTATGCACAGCGAGGGAGAAATGATGCCCTACTGTTGACCTTTGCCGCGGATTGCCAGCCATGGAGAGTGGGCGGCAGCGCCCCAGGGGTCCTTCACACCACGACACCACGTCCTTTCCGGGAGGGCCTCTCGGGGCCTCCACCAGCCTGCTGCCAGTCGCCCTCAGCAGAAGCTCTCAGGTGCTCTACGGAGCCGCGCCCGCCGAGGGCTGTCCCTCCGTGGGGCCTGACCTCCTCGTGGCGTGTCCCTTCAACTGTGAGTCTCGGGTGCCTGCATCGTGCCTGCCCCACGGAAGCATGTCCTGTCTCTCTGGTTGATAAATGAATGTGTTGTCAAGGACCAGCCCAGATTCTCTTGGTGGCAAGTGACAGACATTCGACTCAAGTAGCTTAAGCCTGAAGGAGAAAGAGTACAGACACTCGAGCATGGCATTGGCCCCACAGGCAGGAACCAGGGCTCTAGAACAGCTGGGAGATGCCCACTCGAAGCCCCCATCTCACCCCGTGGCAGCCGCCACCCCCACCCATGCTGGTGTGCTCTGCCCCGCGGCCTCGGCCACCGCCTGCGCTCGGTTCCGGGGCTGGGGTCCTCCAGGATGGACTGTGATTGGCTCTGGGCAGGCCAGGTGCCTGCCCCCCCGCCCCCCCAGCCAATGAGTCGGGGCCAGAAACAGGTGTCCTGTAAGGCAGGCCAGCTGCCCTGGGGCGCAGGTGGGGAGGAACAGGGCTCAGGGTGGACTGGAGCGTTCTCTTCAGGCAATACGGGTGCCTGACGGGACACCACGGGGCGCCATTCTCTTGGGATGGTCGGTGTGACTGGCTTTCTGCCCTTTGGGTGCTCAATGGGGCTGTAGCTGGTATCTGGCATTAAAAACCTGCATTTCAATAGTTTCCTGAATCATAGCTTATGAATGTCGCACGGATCCCCCGCCCAGGTCAGGCCCGCTTCCCCGCCCCTGGCAGCGGAACAGATGCCCTCCGCCTTTGCTGTCCTTGTCTACCTCGGATGGTGTCACGGTCTGACCTTCGTCCTAGCTGTCTGCATCAGGGAGCGCCCCGTTCTGGGATGGTGTCTGTGCTAGAGAGGGAGCTCTGGCCAGCAGCCAGCAGCGACTTGGTCTCGAACCCTGGCTGTGCTGCGTTTCTGTGGGAATCATGGTGGCCATCCACTGGGTCTCCACAGTGCCCTTGTCATCCCTGGGAGACCCACAGGCAGAGATGGACGGTGTTCTGCTTCAGGGGCAGCAAAGCCCGCTTTGCTGTGGGACCCTGGACGGGCATCTAATCTCGTGGGTCTGTTGTCTCCCCACTCAAGTGAAAACGTTGGCCCAAGTTATCTGCAAAGTGTGTTCCACCTCCTGCTCCGATTTCGTTTGCAGCTTCGCCATTTCTGTTGCCCCCAACAGGGGAAGTCTGGCGTTGCCCCGCTCCATCCCAGCCAAGCCCCGCCTGCAGCAGGAAGGGCCGTTCGGGGCCGAGGACCCATGCTCTGTGTCCTGTAGAGTCGTCTGCAATGGCTCCTTCATTTTCTTGCCCCCGGGGCTTTCAAGGTGGGGAGGGAGGATTAGTGGCCGAGGCATCTTTGCCTAAAGTCAGAGTCAGCTGCCTGCAGAGCAGGGCCGCGAGCCCGGACTCTGATACAGGGCGCCTGCCCTCCCGGCCCAGTCCCTCAAACCAAGGTCTGTTATTTCTCCCGCCCTGTGTGAACAGGTGTGGTACCAAACCACAGAATAAAACGAGGGGGAGCATATCATGCATTTGCATTTCTGAGTGATTTGAAAATGTGAACCCAGTCATTTTTAGCACCGTCGAAGCTGCACCGTGTTACTCGCACAGAGAGCCCAGTGCAAAACACCTGGGGCAGAAAACACACGCCTGTGCTTCGGAGACGATGACGCGCGTGATGGCTGCTTGCTGCTCTTTTCTCACAACTTTTCTCCCCTGATCTCCCCAATGCCCTTGTGAGTGGCGGGTATTATGATGAGGCCTGTCCGGAAAAGTCCAGTCATTGTTAATATAACGAGAAAGGTTTGCACGACATCGATGTCACCTGGCAGCCAAGGACCGGGGACTGGAATGCACGTGTGTGAACAATGGCGACTTCACTGTACTAGTCAGTGGGGGCGGTAAACACTGTTGAGTGAGCACGTGTACTGTGTGGCTGTCATATTCCAAGTGACTGAGTGAGTAGAGCAACGAATCTGCATCAAATTTTGTGTTATGCTTCAACATTCCTCTTCGGAAACTATTCACATGATTCAGAAGGCTGCAGCCATGGGCAACGGGTGATTGGCAGCTTTGCCACAACAACACGCCCGCTCACGCGTCATGGCTTGTGTTGAGTTTTTTGGTGGAACAGCAAATCCCCCAGGTGACGCAGCCCCACAACAGCCCAGACTTGGCGCCCTGCGACTTCTGGCTTTTCCCAAAACTAAAATCACCTTTGAAAGGGAAGAGATTTCAGTCTGTCGATGAGATTCAGGAAAACATGACGGGGCAGCTGATGGCGACTGGGAGAACTGTGTGAGGTCCCTAGGTAGCTGCTTTGAAAGGGACCGAGGTGTCACTGTCCTGTGTACAGTGTTTCTTGTATCTTGTATCTTTTTCAGTGTATGTCTCTGTTTTTCATAGTACTTGGATGGATACTTTCTGGACAGGTCTCATATTTCCATTTTTCTCATGGGACCCCTCGCTCAGGGTGGCGAGGGGACATCTCATGGTTGGCGGGGGGCTGGAACTCTGTGTCAGCCAGTGCGTCGCCCCCACTGGGTGGCACACGGCCCCCCCCGCCCCAGATGGTCCCTCTAAGGCCCACTCGCTGCTGCCACCGCAGCGGCTCCTGTGCTGAGTCCCTTTTGTCACTTGAATGCGCCTCTTATCTTCCCAAGGCTGAGGTCAGCTTTTGTGCCGCAGGAGCCTGCCTTGTTTCTTTCCGTCCTGGCAGGAGAAAGCAGGGACTGTGAAAAGCCACAATTATCACTTCTGGCCCCTTTGTCCGGCGTCCTACAAATAATTTATTTGGATTTGAGGGCCTGAGGCTGAACACACAGGGAGCCTCCTTGCACCCAGGCGAACTCTGCGTTCAGAAGGTGAACGCGGCAGGCAAGAGAAATGTGTCTTTGAAATCAGAGGAGACCTCGAGTGACCAGAGAACACAGACGGACAGCAGCAAGGCCCCTCTTTATGGCCCGTAAAGGTTGCCGTCGAGAGTTCCACATACACTCCCTGCACCTTTGGCAGCCAAGGAATGGGGACAAGGAGCTTTGGAGCTGGAAAACACCGGGAGAGCTCAGAGCCGGGCCCTTCCCAAGTCCCTCCTGCCGCACTCAATACCTGGATTAAACAAAGAAAATTGTGTCTGCCAGGCTCGCGGGCCGAAGTCACAAGATTGCGAGTATCATGCAGTACCCTGGAATTCCTACAAAAACGCGCCCGAACGGGTATGCTGCCCGCCACGCGGACGTGGCTGTGCACCGGACGTTCCAGATAAAAGCCTTTAGTACAGAGTTGAAAAACCATGTGATGGTCATGGATTTCGTGAAGAAGAACTGGTTCCCCTCCCAGAGGAGAGCCAAGGCGTGTGTCATCCACATGTACCAAGGCCTGAGGGCAGCCGAGCGGGCGGCCAGCGGACATGAGGTATGGCCGGACGGGGCGGGGAGCCGGGGCGCACGCCTGGTTTGGGGGGCCGGACGCGTTGTTCAGGGGGCCGACTGCTCCGGTGCTCCGTCTGCGTTAGTAAATCAATCATTTGTTTGTCATTGTTCCCGGGGGACGCGGAAGAGACTTTCGCATTCTGTAATTTAGTTCAGTTTTTGAAATGCGGGGCGGGGAGAAGCATATTGGATGGATGTGATTTACACATGACACATGTCTGAATTTGCAAACATTTATTAGCACTCCAGAGAGCTGGGTTATTTGTATCCACATGTAGTAATGCAGCACATTTCTGTGAGTTAAATATTCTGAGTGCTGTAAATTTGCAATCATCTGTCTTTAAAAACAAATTCCTGTTTGTTTCCTGATGTGTTAGCAGAATATCTACGGTTTGCTTTGATTGAGTTAAAATAGAATGATTTAAGTTAGGCCAGTAAGAATGTCTTTTTTTTTTTTTTTTTTTTTTTTTTTGAGAGTGAGCTCAAATTTTCAGGCAGGGACTACAATTGTGGGGGGAAAAGGAACTTCAGGGATTTAGAATGTCAAGATGAGATAAACAAATGACTCTTGAAACATATTTGTATTCTGCAACTGGGATAAGCCACAAGCAGTTACCTTTCAGACAGTAAACACGTATGAAACCTGATCACTCTCTATTGTACATGGAATAAATTATGAATGGCGTTGCAGCCAACTCCCCCTATAGCTCACTTACCCATCTCTTGAAAGACGCAACATGCAAATGGCTAGCATGTGATGAAAAAGTAACCTTTCTGAATATTGAGGCTATTATTAGGCGAGGCTTCCCATGAATGCTGGCAGCTTCTCCAGGCCTTTTGTCCCCCACACTGGCTTCCTTACCCCAGGGCAGCGGGAGAACCTGTTCTGCAAGGTGCAAGGCAGGCTCCTTCCGGTTCCAGCCCTGGGATTGTGAATTTCCATGCTCACAACAGATAGAAAGGCCACAGAAATAATGGTGTTAATTAAATTCAGTAATAGTTGTTCATTAGTTCATCGCCTGATCAACCACAGCGAAAGGTGTGCAATTAGTATATAATTGAAAGAAACCAGAGATGTGATTATTCACAAGTAATTAATTGGATGGGGACAGAATTGCATAATTTCATCGAGGTTATTTTTGGTCCTCCAGAGAGAGACAGACTTGTTGAATCACATCCTCCGGCCTTTGACGGAAGTGCTCATGGCTGCATGTTAAACCCTAAACGGCAAAGAGCAGCTCTTGTGTCCCCGTTTTTTCTTTCACGCACGAAACTCCATTTACTCCCAGGGCAACGCGTAAGACATCAATGTGGTAAAATGCCACTTTGCAGGGGGTTGTAAAAAGCTTCAAGCCTAGTGACAGTCGCAGCCACAGCTTTTTTGTGGCCCCACCCCCTCCCGGCGTTGCGGTGACAGCCAACGGCGCGGGGGGTGCGTCCGCCCCTGGAATGCAGCCTGGACGCTGAGTCCTTTGGTAAAACGGGCCGCGGCCCTCGCGCAGCAGCCCTCTGGGTGGGCCTCCCCGCGACTGCAGAAGTGGCGCAGGGGCAGACCGGGTCCCCGCTTCCCGTCTCTCTGAGTTCCCAGCTCTCTCCTTGTAGTAGAAAACATTTCAGAACCGAAACTATTCCGCCTCCGTTGAGTTGTTCAGATTATTCCCCTGGAGCCCGTCAGCGCCATTTAGATGGGAAACCCCAGGAAAAAGGCAACTTCCCTGCTCCATTTCCAAGCTGAACTGATGAGAGAGTCCAATTAACAGCCCCTGGGTCCTGTTAGACTTGGCCCAGTGACCCCATGCCTCTCGCAGGCCCCAAGGCCATCGGTGAACCTGCCGGGGCTCTCTCTGTCCATAAAGCACTCGATGGCTTGAAAAATGAGCCCAGCCGCCGGAGTGAGCTCTCAATACTCAACGGTGCTCGGTCACAGTGACTGGCTGCCTCTCCCCTACGAGTGAGTTGCGGAGGTTTTGTTTCTGTAAAAACTTTATGTATTTCAAGTCCTTCCCAGGAGGACCTTCAAGTCTGCTTGAGGGGAGTTTGAGATCTAAGGTGGGGGTGTTTCTAAAGCTGCAGCCTTGGTCCTGAGCTGTGTCCGCGCTTGAGACGCAGCCCCTCATCGAGCAGCGCCGTGGCCCAGCCAGCTGGTGGCCTGGCCACACTCGTGCTCCCACTCACGCCGTTTGGAAAAGGACCGCTGAGCTGACCGGTTGCACTGAAAGGCAACGAGGCTTGGAAGCTGGTGGCGGTCAGGGTGCCGAGTATCCTGGTCTTCGTGTTTGCAAACCTCGACCCCTGCTGTCTCCGATACGCCCCAGCTATTAATAACAGCGTTCCGGGGCCTTTCTCCTTGGCACACTCAGCTGATAAATTTCAGACAACAAACTGGGCAAATGGATGGACCCGTATTTGGGGTCTGGCCATGCTGTGAGATGCCTAGGAAGCAGAACGGGGCGGCCTCACCAGCTCAGGCAAGGAAAGCCACGTGGAACTCAGGGATGTGTTGGCCACTCCCCGGGTTTGCATGTAAGTGGGCATCTCCTACGTGGTTGTGGGGATCTTTCTGACGGTGGGCTCGGGCTCGGGCACGTCAGCCAAGGCTCCCCTGTCTGTCTTCCCATCGCTGACAGCCCCCAAGGCCCTCCTTCGTGAGCAGGGCCGGGAAGTTGCCGTGGTTGGCACCTGCCACTCGGCCACGCCTCTCAGGATTTCCCAAAGCTGCTGCCATCTTCATTCCCCCTCCCTTCTTACCCTGTTTTGGTTTGTTTTGTTTTGTTTTTGGATTTACCTAGTGGTGCTCCTTTCTGGCTGAACAGGAGAATCATGGTGAACTTCAATGTTTAATTTTGTTTGATGTACAAAAATTTCACATATTTAACCTGCGCGTGTGGACGAGTTTGGCCATAAACCCGCTCATGACACCGCCGCTGCGATCGCAGTGCCACACAGACCCGTCGTCTCTAAAATTCCCTTGCGTTCTTCTGTGGGCTGCTCTTTCCCGTTTTTGGTGGTAAGAGCATGTGCCATGGGATCATCCTGTTAGCACATCGTAAGGGTGCAGTGGCACGGTGTCGCTGGGGGCACGGTTGAAGAGCAGGTCTTTGCTGCTCACTCGCTGGGCACAGCGGACCTTGTACCCCCTGGAGCCACGCCTCCCCCGCCCCCGCCCCCAGCAGCCACCGCTCCCTTGTCCGCGTCTATGCATCCACCTCGCTTGCGCACCTTGTGGGAGCGGGTTCCTGCAGTGCTTGCCCTCTGTGACTGGCTTATTTCACTCCGTATAGTATCTTCTGCCTTCATCTGAGTTGTCGCAAATGGTAGGATTTCTTTCTTTTTTAAGTTTGAACAATACTGCAGTGTATGTGTATATTCCATCGTCTGTATCGTTCATCCGTTGATGGACGTTTGGGTCATTTCCTCAGGTGAACCCTTAAAAACTGCATATGCTTGTAGCCCAGCCAAGGCCCCTGGGGCCAGCAGAGGTTTATGTCGCGTTCCTTTAAAGAACCTCGACCTCTGATGGACACGTGGCTGTTGCCTGAAAACCGTTTGCGCTTTCAAGGCGCGAACAGCGGACTTCGGTCAAGGCGGTGGTGCTCAGTCAGGCACGGGTTCCCCAGGGGGTAGTCGATGGTGTCTGGAGGCCCCTTCGGGTGTGACAACTGGGGGCAGATGGGCCTGGTGCCTGCTGGGAGAGGCCGGGGCCACTGCCGGGCACCCCGCAGTGGCCAGGACAGCCCTGTGCCCCCAACAGCAGAGAACACCCAGCCAGAAATGCTCACCTGTGGAGGCCGAGAAGCCCAGGCCCGATTACCCTCGGGAGGACTCTACCCAACGCCCGCGTATCCGAGATCTTCCCACCGGGGCCAGTGGGAACGTGGGCCGTTTCCGGCTCTGGGCGAGGTCCTGGGAGCACCCCGCTAATTTCTGGCAGTTCTCCTGGGTTCAGGTAGTTTTGCTTTCAAGCACGTGCAAATCTGTACTCAGCCAGTCTGTACTTGAAGGACCACTTGCAGTTTGCTAGAACCCTCTTTCCTTGCTTTTGCTCTTCTTTGGTATTGGCCTCACACACTCTGGCTGCCTCAGCCTCCCTGAATCCTGCCCTTGGATGCCCTGACTCATTAAGAGCCCGGCCTTTGGATTGCCCTCCCCAGCAGCAGCCCGGAGGCTGCCCTCGGGCGGGGCCGGCGGGGGGCTCACCGCCCCCACGCCCTCCCTTCAGCTCACAGCCCCGCAGGGCTTGCTGGCCCCTCCGGGCTTTGGGGGTGTTTCCCAGTGTGTGGGGTGAGCCCTCCGGCCGTATGAAATAAAGCCCTGCAGTCCGATGTGCTTGGGCGTGACGGTAACATTACTCAGGGGATGGGGGGCACTGAGACCCAAGAAGAGGTAAACAACACCCCCTTTCTTCTCGCTGTTATCAAAAGGTGTGCAGCAATTGACCCGTCCCCGAACCCGGCCGAGGACATTTAGCCAGATCAGTCTTCAGAGTGCCACTTTCCCTCCTGAAGTCTTCCGCCTGGCGGCCCGGCCGGGTGGAGGCTCCGCGCCCCCAGTCGGGCGGGTTGAGGAAAGCCCGCTTCGCAGTGAATATTCCTGCTGCCCTTGCCGCACCCCGCACCGGTCAGGGGCCCCGGCCTGCCTGCTGCTGCTGCTGCCTCGGCCACTCGCCTCCCTTGACAGTGGCTGGCAGCCTCGGTCCAAGTGCAGGAGGAGGGGAAGCCAAGATGCAAAAGATGCCTCAACCCTTGGGTCCCAGGCTGCCCGCTCACCGCGTTCCTCCGGCCCTGGCCTGGCCTGGCCTGGCCTGCCGCGGGGGCTGGTGGCCAGAGGGCCGGGTCCGAAGAGGGGCGAGCGGTCGGAGGCGTGAAGTTCGTTTTGTAGCATCTGGAGGCACATCTGGTGATCGAGGTCTCCTAGATAATGTCACTGCGGATGTGTTATTGTAAGCTGAGTGCGACTTGATTGGGCCGTTTGGAGCTGAGTCTC